GGGGGGGGGGCATAAGGAGCTTCCTCAAGAAGTCTACAGGCTCTCAGGAGTCCAAGAAAGTCGGCAGACGAACGATTATTAACACGAGAGACGCCAGACAGATTTTCCGACTTGCTATAAATCGAATCCTATCTGCAAAGAAGATTGCAGAACGGTTACCAAGCCGTCCTAGTGCATCTACGCTTCTACGAGTGCTACGCAAGAGTATGCCAAGTACTCAAAGAGAAACCTGTTTCAGCTCTGGAGCTACACCACAAGGTGGCCAGAGCAAAATTTGCGAATAAATTTGCAGATTCCACCAAAGTTTGAAGACGCGTAGTGTTTACTGACGAAAAGAAATTCGATTTAGACGGCCCTGATGGGTACCGTTGCTGCTGGCAAGACACCAGAGTGGCGCCCAAGTTGATTCCAAGCGTGTGAACGGCGGGGGGAAGCGTCATGATTTGGGCGGGTGTGTCAATGTACGGCAACACTGAGGTGGTTTTTCTGTAAGGAAGCCAAAATGCTGCTAAGTACAAGGAAACACTGCGCGGAAACTTGCTACCCTACCTGGACAAACTTCGCCTCATAAGGGGCAATTTAGAGCCCATTTTCCAACAGGATAATGCATCTATCCACGCTGTAAGACTCACAAATAGCTTTCTAAAGGTAAACAACGTTACAACAATGGAGTGGCCCGCCAAGAGCCCCGATTTAAACATCATCGAGAACGTATGGGGAATGCTGACGGATCGGGTTTACTCAAATGGGCGTCAGTTTGAAAGTCGTGCCGAATTAAAGGCTTGCATCACAGCTGAATGGGCTGATATTGGGCCGACTACATCAAGAAGCTGGTGAAGACCACGCCAAAGCGTTTGCACCTGGCAATTGCTCTCAAAGGCGCTACAACTCACTATTAGCAAACAATTGTGCTATGCGCATACAGTTTTGACGCGACCTCTTAACGTTATATTTTCGACTGCGAAAACATATTGCTGTTTGTCCATTCAGACTTTCTGGGCGGTTTTACCCTTGTTAATCACGTATTATACTTGAAGTAGTGTTTAGTTTTATGCAAAGTTTCGAGTACTAGCAGAGAAATCGACAATTTTCGAGTGCGTTTATAGTTTCGACGCGCACTGTAATACAATGTGCTTACAAAATATGTGAAAGACTTTCTAAACTTACCGTCACTACACTCTTCACGCTAATTAGCCATGCCCTGAGTAGTTGTGGTATATGAATTGAAGAGTAGAATATTGATATTCTTTG